AGAGAGTAAACCATTGGGGGTGCAGTGCTGGCCAGCACTACAGAGGAAAAGAACTTGGGGGTACTTATTTCAGATGATTGCAAAATGAGCAAACAGTGTGGCCAGGCAGTGGGAAAACTCAATATAATTCTAGGATGCATCACTAGAGGGGTCACCAGCAGGAGGAAGGAGGTAATGATTCCCCTATATAGATCTTTAGTTAGACCTCATTTAGAATACTGTGTCCAGTTCTGGAGACCTCACTTACAAAAAGATATTGATATGATAGAACAAGTCCAGAGACGGGTAACAAAAATGGTGAAAAGTCTGGGGGATAAAACATATCAAGAGTGATTTCAGGAACTTAACATGTACAATCTGGAGGAAAGAAGGGAAAGGGGAGACCTGACTGAAACCTTTAAATACATCAAGGGGGTGAATAAGGTTCCAGAGGGCAGTATTTTCAATATGAAACTAAAATCTAGAACACAGGGACACTTAAACTAACTGGATGAATGTTCAAAACTAATCTCAGAATGATCTATTTTACTGAAGTAGTTGATGCTTGGAATAAACTTCCAGCAGTGGTAGTGAGCCAGTCAACAGTAAATAGCTTCAAACAGGCATGAGACAAGCATAGGTCTATACTCAGACAAAAAAATTTACAAACCCCCCCCACCTCCACCCAAAAAAAGACCAAAATCCAAACAAAAACAGGCAGACTCGATGGACCACTCTGTCTTTTTCTGCCATCATTTTTCTATGTTTCTAACTTATCCTTTAACTGAATTGGGCTTTATCTATGTCTGTCTATTTGCACTTGCACTCCTTTTCAACAGCGTAGTGAATGTGGTAAAGCTCTTTGATTCCCAATATACAATCATGTGCAGGCAAAAATTCTGTTTTTTTTTTATTTTTCCTTGCATCTGATTTTAGTATTCTTTACAAAGTGGAGTTTTACCACATTTACTAAGCTCTGGGGAAAATGAGTACAGTTGCATTTGCAAAGTTCACAGTCGGTTTGCCTATAGTAAATCCACCCCTTAGAGTTCAATGTGTCTAAAGGGATATTGGGGCATGATGTTTCTTGTAACATAGGACTGATTATATATTTACATTAACTTGAAGTAGCACATTTACAACACAGAGAGGCAGGTAAAAGTGTCTACAAGCAGTTGATATAGCTGTTTTGGATGATTTTCCTTATTTTTAAGCAACATTCGCACTTCACTACAATGTTATATGGGATTCAATAAAACAAAGATTTAGGCTGATGTAATTTTAGTTACAACTTGGAAACTCATACTACAGCCTGTCCTCTATGAAAGACGGATGTTACTGCTGAAATAACAGCTGGGTTGTGTCTTGAATGATTATTTTGCAAGCTCTGTCAAGTGACATGTTACTGCGTTTGCCGGCAGCTTTTAGCAACTAGGAAAAAGAACCTTAGGTTGTCAGTGTAAAAAAGATCTCCAGTTTTCCTATTAGAGATCCCAAAACCTTTATTCACTGACAACAAAGTAGCAGAAAAGTCAAAACATCAATTGCCTGGTTGCTACATGCTGAGTATAATCTATTTTTTCTTGGTGCACAGATACTGCCACAATGACTATGACTAATTAGTGTTTGTTTGCTTTTGCAGAACTTTAACATTCAGATTTTTTTAGGATGAGCCAGATTCTGTGTGGGAAATAGGAATATTGTGTACTCCACAGGGGAATAGCTACGTGGCTAGGAAATGACTGCACAGGGCCTCCTAGGTTCTGATTGCTCACAGGCTGGGGTGTCACATATGGAAGGTTTGGAGCATTTTTGTATGTTTTGGGTGTTTCTGGTTATAGTTTGGGCTGAAAGGGGTTCTAACCTCTTTAGGCCCCTATCACACAGGGAGGATTCCCTTTATGTCAAAAACAAAAGAAAATCTCTGAGACCACACAGTAGAAACAAAGTTTAGGTGCAGTATTCAGGAATATTGTGTACTCCACAGGGGAATAGCTACATGGCTTGGAAATGACTGTACAGGGCGTCCTGGGTTCTGATTGCTCACAGGCTGGGGTTTCACATATGGAAGGTTTGGAGCATTTTTGTATGTTTTGGGTGTTTCTGGTTATAGTTAGGGGTCTAAAGAGGTAAGAACCCCTTTCAGCCCAATCACACAGTGAGGATTCCCTTTATGTCAAAAACAAAAGAAAATATCTGAGACTACAAAGTAGAAACAAAGTTTAGGTGCAGTATTCAGGAATATTGTGTACTCCACAGGGGAATAGCTATGTGACTGGGAAATGACTGCACAGGGCCTCCTAGGTTCTGATTGCTCACAGGCTGGGGTGTCACATATGGAAGGTTTGGGGCATGTTTGTATGTTTTGGGTGTTTCTGGTTATAGTTTGGGTTAAAAGGGGTTCTTACCTCTTTAGGCCCCTATCACACAGGAAGGATTCCCTTTATGTCAGTCGGGAATCTGTCCACTGATCCCTGCTGATCAGAGCAGAGCAGGAGGATGTCAGGTCCGTGTCTGCTCAGCTTCTGCAGAGCGGACATGGACAGAGACCACTTTGCTGTATGGGTGGCTGGGGATAAGTAGACTCCCACATGGGTACAGTGAGGTGTTTTGTAGGCATATTAAGTTATAAGGATAATGCACTTTATTTTGAGGTAATATGGGAACAAGGAAGAACTGTGTATGACTACGCATATCTTTGGACAGTTCACTACATAAGAGAACTATTTTTTTGGACACTGGATGATTTTTAGTGACCTTTTGGATTTATTTAGAAGATTAATTTTCAGATCACAATTTGGGTTTTTGCACGCATATTTTTTTTTTTAAATTAATATTTATGTGTTTCATTATCACTGTTTGTACTTGCCTTTCTGGGGTGAAAGGCGTTAGACTGAGTCATTGGGATTTAGATAACTGAGTGAGGAGTGCTTTTTACACTATACAAGAGTGAAATCTGTTTGACTGAAATTGAATCTGCTTTTAAGGCCTGTTAGGTTCTTTTCAATGAAAGCAATTGTTTGAGTGAACACCAGTTATTGCAATCAGTTTGCAAAAGATATAACTTTTTTCCACAAAAGGATTGTTATATCAAATGATCGTATCTTTACATCTATGGCCAGCATTGGTGGACCTGAGAGCCAATAAAAGTATGAGGCAATTAGGAGCAACTGAAATCACTGCTGAGGAATCCCAGAGCAAGGGCGCAATGTGTATAGGATAGGGGCGGGGCCATGCTGGTTATGTTGGAGTGCGGCCATCTGAGGGTCTGCGAAGTATGGAGAGAGTGGTCTGACGTACCCATGTTTGTACTTATGCTTGTATCATAGCACTTGGAAGGTTTACTGATGTGAGTGTATTTTAGATTGACTTTTTTATAAAATATTTTTTGCACAAAAATCACTACTAGTCTTCTGTTTTGCCTGTAACCTGTTTATGAGCGCAGAGACAGCAAAGGAAGAAAGGAGTTATCTGTGGAGCAGCTGATAACACAGCTCAAGAAAGGGCAAAGATCACAGTTTTGACCTTAATTTTCAGGTTGGGGTCAATGTTATGAGGTGAGTGTTTGTCTGTATGTATGTATGTACAGCACGAGTGGCTTCTAGTGTACTGAAGGACGTTTGTGTTTGTTAGGACACATTGGTGGTGGATGCACTTTATTTTATGGACCTTAGGGATCATTTTTTCTATTATTTCTATTGAGTTATGTTTTCTATTATTTATATTTAGTTGCGTTACATCAATATTTCTGTATATGTATGTAGCGGTGTGGTGAAAGCACTTTATGATGTTTTAGCAGCAATTCATGATTTTATATTTTGCTGATATATTGAGTGCATTTTTGTGGAAAACTGACTGTGCTGATTGTTTTGGGTTTTTTTAGTGAGTGAGAAGCAGCACACCAATAAGCTCATCTCTCTGTCACTCTGTGCTCTCCTCCTGTCAACAAACTCCTTCTGGTGCAGCAGAAACGATTGGCTCCTTGTACTGCTCTCCCTGTCCTAGTGCTGTAAAGTGTCTGAAAGGGCTGATACCAAGTCATATCCCGATGCTTACACTGCTCACATTTTAAAACTACATTCAATTATGTATTCATGGACAAAAAGCTGCATTCATTTATGTATTTTATATCTGCCTGGAGTTTAGCTTTAACCAATTAGACTAATGTAATCTCTGAAATTCAGTACTATTAGTGCTAATATTGAAAAGGACAACTCCTTAATGATTTTAATGTAATAAACGGCAAAATAAAGGAAAAACAATTAGGACAACATTTCTTGTGTTAGTCATTATTTTTGTCTATGGTTAAAGATAGAATGAGATGCATACAATCCTTGTATTTGTGTTAATGCAACTGACCTTTATGTCTTTTATTTTGCACAAAGCAAGGGTAGCCAGGTAAAGCCAGTAATTTGGGAAAAGTACCATTTATATTTTTAGACTTCGCTAGGGGAGCAAAAATGGATTGCTAGATGGAAATGGCCAAGCACAATGAAATTTTTAATGATGCAATTAGGTGGTATGAATGCAAGCAGTCTTTTGTTCCTGGGTTATTTGTTGCATTATAAAGGAGATTTTCACATTGTTTCCCTATACAGGGTAGTTGAATGAAATAATTGCTGAAAGTAGCTGTAATAACCTGTCTAAATACTGTGCATTTAGGTAAAGAACGCGAAAAGTGCATTTTAACTATTTTAATAAATGTAGGCACGCAAGATTGCAAATATAACTGTTCATTTCTTTTTCTGTACAATGAGCGCTGTACGAGTATCTTCAACCATTCTTCTACAGGTTCAGGTTTAATATCAGTTATCCTAGAGCTTCACAACTAAAGCTGGCGTTTTTTTGTTCAGCCAGTGTGCTAAGCAAAAAAAAAATGAATGGATACCTCCATCCACACAAATGAGGTGGATGGAAGAATCTATTCTGACACATCATTCACACTTGTGCAACTTGTCATGCGACTTTCAACATGTTTTCCATGTTTTCCAATGATAACCATTCATATATGTGTGACTTAAAGGCACATCGACTTCAGAGTAGTTCATGCACTACTTTAGTCCGACTTTCATGCAACTTGAGGGCCATAGACTTCAATGTTAACCCTCAAAAGTTGCATGAAAGTCGTACCTGATTGTTTTACATGCAACAGTGGTGCAACAGGGGGTTCGACTTTTCAGAGGGACAACAAGTCACATCCAATTCGCACCCAGGGGCGGACTGACCATTTGGAAACTCGGGCACTGCCCGAGGGCCTGGGGTCTGTAGGGGGCCCAATGAGATACCCCTGGTACCTTTTTCATAGGCTTTTTTGAGTTTGGGCAAGGACACGGGGGCCCCATGATCCCCTATTGTTCGAGGGCCCCATGAGTTGTCAGTCCGCCCCTGTTCGCACCCATCCAAAGTTGCATCAAAATTACACTTTGGAGTCACACAAGTGTGAATGGAGCCTTAACGATTGATTTCTGCAGAACAGAGACAGCCAAATATGGATTGAAATTCAGCCGATTCCTGCTGAACTGGTATAATTTCGATCCATCTATGGCCATCTTTAGTGAGTCTCTGAACTGGAATGCAAGCAAGTTGAGATTTCTGATCTTGTTGACTACACAATGTTTCCACATAAGTAACTTATTATACAGTATATAATGGCTCAATAAGATAGTCATGCCAGCCAGGGAACTATTAACTTAGAAAACAAAAGTGACCAATGAAAGCACTTGCCTTTATAACATGACATGTATTCTTTCATTAAAGATATCTAACGATCACATGGATTTTAAAAATGTTTTGAGTTCTAGAACTAGGAACAAATAATGCCATAGCAGCCATAGAATGATAATGACATCAAATAGCACCTCAAGATGTTGAATTATCTTTTCCTGCTTCGATGGACTTTCTATGGCAAGATTATAGTAACTTGAGCCCACAGGAGATGATATCAGTATCTTTCCTATCCATAGGAATAGCCTTAATCTGGCTCTGAATCTCTTGGCATGAGTCCAAGATATACAGCGTTGTCCATTAATCCTCCTAGGCTTTGAAGCAGCTACACCAATAGTTTCCCCTATGATTACAGGGCAGCACAGTGTACCAGGAAAGTATAGCTGATGGTCTGTGAGAATCTGTATATTTCATGTAAGATGTCTAAATAGAAGCACTGCCACAGCAAATAGGTTAAAATATAGATTTATGTAACTGCAAATTATACTGCAGACAGCAAAGTACAGTATATTTATCTTCTATGACATATAACTCCCAATGGGTGACTAGCAATTCCTATCCGCTAACTTCTGGGAACTTGAAATTTCCTACAGCCATATTTCAGCTGTTAAAGCAGCACTACACTGCATCTCAGCATCACAAAATAAAAAATATATTGAATTCATTTTTAATATTCAAAGCAAACTCACCCATCCATCACTGTCTATATGTTTTATTTTGCTGAGAAATCACTTTGAAAAACACTCCCTAGCATGCCTGTCATGGCCATCTTCAATAAGGGCAGATGATTCATATAGCATTTACTTCCTGGAATCCATCTGCCCTTATCTAAGGTATGCAGCCAAGAGCCTTTGCTTAGCGGAAAAAAACCCTCCTGAAGACTCCTGGGATGTATGACATCATTTGCCTAGGCCTGAAAACCAGGAAGTAACTGAAGAATTTTTTTTTTTTTTTTTTTTTGAACAATTTAAATATGATCTACCTTTCTATCTATTTACTAATGCTAGCAGGGTATGGATTAAAAAATAGTGTTTATTGAGAGAAAGTGAAGTTCCTCTTTAATTAACCTCTTCCCTACCTTGCTATAGATGAAAGACGGCTACAGCACAGTTGTCTAGTTCTGGGAGGATGTCCATGGACGTCCTCCCAGAACGCACCCTCAGCGGCGCTCACACGGCGCCATTGGTGATCGCTGTGTCCTACAGAGGCCTGCTGCCACATGATCAGCTGTCTCCAATGACACAGCAAATCACCAGGTGAATACAGTTGTCGGTTATCAGCTGCACTTTACAGCATGAGGAAAGTGCCGATAACTGGCAATTGTCAGCCTAGCAGTGCCACCCACCTGTGCCCAGCAGTGCCACCAGTCAGTGCCACCCATCAGTTCCCATCATTGCTGCCTATCAGTGCCACCTATCAGTGCCCATCATTGCTGCCTATCAGTGCCACCTATCAGTGCCCATCATTGCTGCCTATCAGTGACACCTATCAGTGCCCATCAGTACTGCCCATCAGTGCAGCATCATCAGTGCCTCCTATCAGTGCCCATCAGTGCCTCCTATCAGTGCCCATCAGTGCTGCCTATCAGTGCCCATCAGTGCTGCCTATCAATGCAGCCTTATCAATGCACATCAGTGAAGGAGAAAAATTACCTGTTTGCAAAATTTTATAATAGAAACAAAAACGTTTTAATTCCAATTTAATTCTAATTTTGCTCTGTTTTTGTTTATAGTGCAAAAAATAAAACACCCAGTGGTGATTAAATACCACCAAAAGAAAGCTATATTTATGTGAAAACAAATCATAAAAATTTCCTATGGGTACAGGGTTGCATTACCGCGCAATTGTCATTCAAAGTGCAACAGCGCTGAAAGCTAAAAATTGGCCTGGGCAGGAAGGGGATATAAGTGACGGTAGGCAAGTAGTTAAGGTATTGTTACACGTCTCATTTACCTCTACTCTTATCGAAGTAATGTTATTTAAAAGGTCATAGTTCTGTTCAGTGTACCATATACTTCAGTCCCATCATCCTGGAAACATTGAAAGTGTTATGTGGTAACCAGGGGTGGACTGACAACTCATGGGGCCCCTGGGCAATAGGGGATCATGGGGCCCTTGTTTCCTTGCCCAAACTCAAAAAAGCCTATGAAAAAGGTACCAGGGGCATCTCATGGGGCCCCTTACTGACCCCGGGCCCTCGGGCAGTGCCCGAGTTTCCAAATGGTCAGTCCGCCCCTGGTAGTAACTGTCACATGCTCCCAACACAGTCATTTACCAGCTTCACCCATCTCCTATTATATTTTGGCATTCTAAGCTCGTTTTATGTTATAAACCTGTTCTACTATATCCAATGGCATAAGTACGTTTAAAATACCATCCAAAGATGGCTGTAGTCATTAGATGGAAAGCAAATATTAGGTCACAAGGTGACTATTAGAAGGTCTTGTTAACTATCAACTAGAAGAGTTTCAGGGGTAATAAAATACAGGGTCACCTCTTGAGACCTACATCATAATTCTATTGAGAGAAAAGCCCAACAAATTGAAAAAGTGGGTGAAGCTATTTTTTTGTCCCACTTATAATACTCTTTTCCGTCTTTCCTCTCTTTAGTTGCCTCTCCTTTTCTGCTGGACACCCTTGGTACTGAGTTATTAGTGGCCTCATGCTATGTCCAAGGCATAAGGGTAAGGCATAACTAGGGTACTCAAAAGAACACCCAAAAACAGCTGCAAAGGATATCCAAGGTACTCGGTAGAATTGGGTACCTACCCTAGGTGCTGGGTTCCAGCAATAGCCCTGCTATGAATAGACCACACTAATTTACCAATCTCTGCATCTAACTTGGAGAGCAATGGAAAACAGGGTAAAAAGGTTTAAGAACACTGGCTTGTTCATCTCTGCAATCAAAATTTCAGACAAATGATGTTCTATAAAGGAATAAGAACTCTCAAAATGTTCCAAATGATATTACAATTTTATTTAGGCTTACTCTCCCTAATAGAGACACAGACTGCAATAATAACCTGGCAAGAGTTCTAACCCTTCATTGCTGTATCAAAAATTTTGGCTTTAGACAGATTTTACGATTTTTTGATGATTTACAGTACATGGTTGGAGGTACCATACTGATACACCCGCAATTAGATGTAATGATAACAATAAATAGTGAAAGAGCTAGATTTCATATGGGAATGTATTGTTACCAGTATTTCTCTGCTATGTTCCCCAGATATGTAATTTAATGCACTTCTGCTCAGTATAATAAACGGTATCTATAGATTCAATGCCAGGCACTGAGAAAACTTGAGCAGACATTGCAACAGAGCAATTAAGAAGCTTTTGTCATGTAAATAGTCCCTGGTGTAAACTGATATCAATTACATTTTCACAATTTTCGAGGAGAAATCATCTTTCCTGAAGTTGCTGCAGGAAATTATTTTGATTTTAACTGAGTGCAACAGTTATGAAAGGTGCCTCAAAGCACAGGGCTAATTGTTGTGAAAAGCTGCCATTTTGTGTTCCTCTTAATTTGGCAGAGTTTAAATATCCTGATTCTGTGTGTGTGTTTCTGATGAGGTTTGCTTTGTATGTTCTTGTTGGCGTTGTCATTTAAAAAAGCCGGCCTTGTGGAGTTAGCCATCAGAAAATTCACAGATGCTATGGCTCCAAGCAAGCGTGATAGTTGAAATAGAATTCGTTGGCATTAGATGGCTTGAATCATAGGCACACGACAAGACAGATGATTTGAAAAGAGCTTGAAGTAGTGCTTATTTTGATCAGAGCAGAAGTCTTATCTTTCATATCTTGTGAGGCTCTGTCTGTATGGTATGCAGCCTTGATAATGTCATCTTGACATCATGTCACTTGTTTCATTGTCAACATTCATGAACTGGAAACCTCCGAAGATCATATACTTCAGCTGTCACGTTTAATCCTCGGACGACCTTTGGATTTGGAATCAGCTGTATGCCCCCTAGCTCTATAATGCCATAATTTAGACATTTAGATTGGTTAACCTTCCAACTTAAAGGGCATCTGTATTTGTAGCCCATATCCTCTCGTGCCCCTAAAGAGTGCAAATTAAAAAACATATGGAACATGAAACCTGTCTTACAGTAGTACTCTAGTGATAAAACAAAAATGAAAAACCTACAAATGAAAAAACAAACAACTTTTTGCTACAATACTCACCCTTATTCTGTCCCCAGCAGTACTTCTTTTCCTCCACAAGATGTCTTCACACTTCCAGGTTCCATGTCTGCATCATTCAACCCACTTCCCTTAAGGTTAAAATGGTTGTAAACCCATACATATACCCATTGAAGTGACTAGCTTAAGGTGATACCTGGGCATGAAACAACTCCTCTTACATGAGTTGTACCTGTTTATCTACAGTGTTCTGTTCTGTACAGCTGGTCAAAAAAAGAATTTATACAACTTTTTGAGCTTTTAGGAAATTGGGTGGGGAGCTGAAATTATACACTGCAGAGTTCGCTAGGGAGAGCTGATCCGATGGGAGTGGGCATGCCCCCTTTTCACACAGGCTGTCAGTCATAGGCTTTTTACCTCTTGGCATCAGGAAAACTTGTCAAAAATGACTCTGAAGACCGCAGAGGATTGAGAAATGTATTGCTCTGGATTGAGAA